GAGGGGAGGGGGTTGAGGGGAGAAGAGAAAAAAAATCCTATCACCTCAATAATCCAGAAATATATCCCCTCTTTTTCCAAACCCACAGCTTAAATCCCAGCCCTAAAAATTTTCAGCTGCATTGTTACAATCTCCCCAATTCAATTCTCAATCCCTCTTCCAGCATTCTCCAACTGCTTCCAAAGAAGTCTTTTTCCTCTAGTACTTAAAAAAATGGATGCATAATTTACACACAATAAAACACACAAATTATAAGTGTAAAGTTTGATGGGTTTAAACAGAACCACCACTCGAATCAAGATATACAACATTTCTGTAGTCTCAGAAAGTTCCCTTGTGATTCTTTTCAGTCAAGCCCCTGATACCCAGAGGCAGCTGAAATCTTGATTTCTATTACCATAGATTAGTTTTGCCTGTTCTGGAACTGTATATAAATGGAGTCACGTGGTATGGATTATCTTGTGTCTGGATTCTTTAGTCAACACAGTGTCTGTGAGAGTCATCTAGGTTATTGCATTTTCACTAGTTTGTTCCTTTATATTGCTGAGTAGTGTCCAACTGTATGGATATACCACAACTTATTTTTCTATTCATCTGTTGATGAAAAATTGAGTTGTTTCTAGTTTTGGCTCGTATGAAAAAGCTGTCATGAACATTTTTGTGTAAGTCATTTTTGGACATAATATTTTCAATTTTAGAGAAGTATGCAGGAGTAGAATTGCCAGTTCACGGGATAGGTGTACGTTAAATTTTATAAGAAACCGCGAAACGGCTTTCCAGTATGGTTCTAGTATTTATAATTCCACCAGCCGTGTCTGAGAGTTCCAGTTGCCAAAACAAGTCTTTTTCAAATGCAAATCTGTCATACTATTTTCCTACTTAAAGACCATCTCTGGCTCTCTCCACACATGTTCACATTCCAAAGGAAATAGGCAAGGCTCTCCATTATCTGTGTCCCAATTGTTCAGCTTCATCTCTTGCTACTTCTCCACATGTTCCCTTTACTCCAGTCATACTAACCTCACTCAGTTCCCTCAACTCATGAAGTTCTTTCACTTCTTTGTTTAAGTCCTTCCCTCTGCTGCATTTGCATAGCGAATGCCCACTCATCTTTTCAGAGCTATGTGCTGATTACTTCACACCTGTACCCACACCCCTGTGAGTTAATTGCTGCTATTCTGTGCTCCCTTAACATACAGGATATAACTCCGTTAGAATACTCTGCTCAAAGCACTAGAACATATTATTTTCTACTTGCTGCCCGACTAGCTCCTGGAAGACACTACCACCACTATTTAATGATGGTCTACCACCAGACAGACACTATACTAGCTGCTATGCCTAGAATGAGTAATAACAGTCATGGCCCCTGCTCTCCTAGAGCTTAGGGTAGGGTGGAGAAGAATGCCAAGTAATCACACTCACAAATGCAGAATTAGAAACTGAGTTAAGTGGTCTGAACACAGGGAATGATGAGTCTACGAATACGTAACCAAGAATCTGTCCTAAATAGGGTGGGGAGGGGGCATGGAAGGCTTCCCTGAGCAAATAATACTGGAATCTAAAGGAGACACAGGAAGGAACTAATCAGGTGAAGTGTGTTGCTCCTTATTGTGGGAGAGAACCTGAGACTGTCCAGGAAACTGAAATTAAGCTGGCGGAGGTTTGAGAACAGAGACTAACGGGCCCCGTGTGAGGGAAAAGAGTTGGGCAAGGGCCAGACCGGAAGCTGCTCACATGTGGCCACCGTCTTGGTCAAGACAGAGCAGCAGCAGACCTGGCAGTATCATCCTCTGCTGACAGCCATGACGGCTGTCCACTGTCCATCGCTGCACCCGGCACAGGGTCACGTGAAACAGACATTTGTGAATTAGTCAATTTTAGAAGTGTTCAAGGAGTTGAAAGAGAGATTACATGTATCCTGGGTGGGCCGCAAAGTTGGGGGAAGAGTGTTTTTAAGCAAAGGCACAACTTGGGTTTGTTGAGGGAATACAGCCAACAGAGGTAAAGGGATGAAATATGTAAATACAGTTCTGCCATAGGTGGAAAGGAATCACGAATACAGAGATTTTCAGTTTTGAAAAGGAAGAACAATTCTTCCTTTGAGGTAAGAGAAAAGGGCAGGAAAATGGGGAAAGATCTAGAGAAAAGACACTAACCCTTGGTAGTTATTACAGTCACGTGGTTCACTGGACATTTTCCTGAATCTGCATGGTGCTATCAGACAATCACTTTTTGTCAGCTGTGTCATGGATTCTGCCCATAATCACGGTAGCAGGTTTATGGACTGGTGACTGTGCAACCAGCACAATGCTGGGAGTTTTCACATACATTCGCCATCTCACTAAATTTTCATAATTTTTCAAAGTATATAGTTTTAGGCCCAATTTACAGATAAATTACAATTTACAGAACTTGGGTTCAAGGAGGTTAAAAACCTTTCCTGGATCTACACTGTCAGTGAGTGGGTGACCTGGATTTGGAACTCAAGTCCTGTGGCAACCTGGGAGCCACAGAACTTGAGTTCTTGTCCCTTCTCACTGGTTTCAGATGTTTTGCTCCAATACAGCTGTAGCCTAGGCACAGTGCAAGGTGGGACAGGCAGTTTTTGCCTATAGGGTCGGTTTAATTTGCATAATGTGCCCTCCAGGGTCTCATACCAGTGTATGAGGAATAAGAAGACAGTTTGGGAGGCTAGAATGTAACACTTTGGCATAGAACACATTGTCTTCTTATTGAGATGGGAAGGATCAGAAAAAAAACCAACACTGGAGTACATCACAGGTTAACCTAGCTAAAGATGAGGTCAATAGCTTCTCCACAGAGTCCCATGGGGTCCAAGAGTGCCATGGAGACATGCCTTCATGTGACCTTTTGAGCTCGGGGCACAAATGCCAAGATGGCAATAACTTGGGTGATAACCAGAGTGACTATGGGTGGGGCAGCCCTTAGAAGACAAACCTATCCCAAGAGGAGAAAAAGAGCCTTTGGAAGAATTGCCAGTGTCCATGGAAAGCTACAAAGCTGTGAAGATCCTGCACCAGGAGACAGGTATCCACACCCACAGAGAACAGCAGGCGATGTGGGAACTTGTTCCACCTGTAGAGAGCAGTACTGCTGGAGTGATCTGAATTAGAGGAGGGCAGGAGAGCCAGATGGGCAGGTTCCCCGTTTGGAGAGGTGCCTTTAGGGATATTAACAGGAGACATCATTGTGTATCACTGCTGCCACCAGAGAGGGTGGTCTCTTGATCATTACCAAGCTTCCTTATTATCTTATAGCCCATGCACTTAACAAATTGGTATCTACTTAGTCTGTGCTGTAGTTGACTCACATTTATTTTAGCATAACCTAAGACTCATTCCAGCCCTGGCAGCTTTTCCAACTTGAGGAGCTATATAGTCAGTTGAATAGTGTCCCCACAAAATTCATGTCCACCCAGAACCTCAGAATGTGATCTTATTCAGAAATCAGTCTTTGTAATTAGTTAAGATAAGGTTATATGGAGTAGGGTAAGCCCTAATCCAATGACAGCTTTCCTTATAAGAGACAGAAGAGGAGACAGAGAAGGTCAAGTGAAGACAGATGCAGAGCTTGGAGCGATGAGGCCACAAGCCAAGGAAGACCTGAATCCACCAGAACTGGCAAAGAAGGATTCGCCCCTAGAGCTTCTGGAGGGAATATAGCCCTGTTGACTCCTTGATCTTAGACTTATGGCCTCCAGAACTGTGAGAGAATGAATTTCTGTTCTTTTAAGCCACTGAGTTTGTTGTACTTTGTTACACCATCCCTAGGAAACAAATACAGGAGCTGAGGTCATTCTCCCTAAAGGGCATGTTAAGGAGCTCTCCAGCCCCTAGCTACACCCCTATATGTGAGTGCCAAGAAAAAAATGTATGCTGAATAAATGCATTTCCCAGATCTTAAATAAATGCATTTCCCAGATCTTAAATGAGGGAGAAGCATGATGTCCCTGAGTTAGCATGGAGGGATCAACAATAACACTAGATAGTATCTGGAAGACCCGAAGGCTGTCTATCAAAAAGTCTCATCGTGTGGCTTTAGCTGCCAAATTCAGTAAGTGTCAGGATGCGACTTCTAGTTTTGTCAATCTCAAGGTTGAGTCAACCTTAGCATGATTAGCTAAATCATGCTAATCAAATTCCCAAGGAATAAAAACAAGGCTGCAAATGTATTGATCTGTATGTGTGTGAGAAAGAGAGAAAGCTTCTCTTTCAGGATCCAAAATGCTCAAGTTCACTGGCAGGGGCCCAGAGTCAGCACACCTGGAAGCTGATCAGTGACTGTAAGTTGTATGGAATGAAAGCAAGGAGGCAGGGCACCACCCAGCAAGCAAAGAGGAAGGGACTCCATCCAGGCCACAGAGAGGCCCAGTGGCCTTCCCTGTACCACGACAGACCACAAAGTTCAGGCCCACCTGTCTGCAGCATTCACTGCAAGTTTCTGGTTTTCTGGCTCTTCTTCTCCATGGTCTGGGGCCAACTGCCCCACTTTCATTCACATAGCTGTCCTCTAAACAGGGTGTTAAATGATTATGTTTAAACTTGCTATATTACAGTTATGTCTGGACTTGCCTCCCTAAGATCACAAAGCAGGTAATCTTAACTGAAGTTCCGGGTTCTTCCAAACCCACATTTACAATTTGTTTAATACCATAATAACTAATACCGCCTGCATTAGTTTCCTGTAGCTACTATAACAAAGTACAACAAACTTGGTGGTATTCTTTTTTTTTTTTTTTTTTTTTGGGGTACCCGGGCCTCTTCCTTTTTTGGCCTCTCCTGTTGCGGAGCACAGGCTCCGGACGCGCAGGCTTAGTGGCCACGGCTCATGGGCCCAGCCACTCCGCGGCATGTGGGATCTTCCCGGACGGGGGCACGAACCGATGTCCCCTGCATCGGCAGGCAGACTCTCAACCACTGTGCCACCAGGGAAGCCTGGTGGTATTCTTTTTAAAGGATAGAAATTTATTCTCTTACAGTTCTTGAGGCCAAAGGTCCAAAACCAGTGTGTCAGTGGGGCTGGGCTCCCTCTGAAGGCTCTGGGGAAGAATCTGGTCCTGGCCTCTTCCAGCTTCTGGTCACTCCAGGCGTTCCTTGGCTTGGGTCTCATCACTCCAATCTCTGCCTCCGTGGCCACACTGCCACGTCTTCTTCTCCGTGACTTTCATACTGATAATCCAGAATTACCTCATCTCAAGATCCTTAACTTAATCACATCTTTTTCCAAATAAGGTAACATTTACAGGTTCTGGGGACTTCATGTGAGTATCTTTAGCAGTTGGGGGGATTTGGCGCCACCATTCGAGGCTTTTGAACACTGGACCTATCTATCTGTATTCATACATCTTCAGTGTCTCATACATGAATGAGACTGAAGAGCTAAATTAAGGCAATCTTATTTCTAAATTCTAAGGCACCTCACTACCGCTATATACCATCAATATCCCTCTGAAAGGAAATGTAGAATCTTGATATCATAGGCCTCTCAAGCACAGGCCAGTGTGAATGGGTTTCATGGGCTCATGATTCAATGTGAATTATCTCTGACATCTCTTCAGGCCAATCTGTCACTATAAACTGTAATTGCAATTAGCATTAAATTTGACTATGATATCAAATATCTGGCATGATTATCTTTTACTCTACCTCTTCAAATCCTTTCTACCTTTTGAGGCCCAGCTAACCCCTCACCTTCCCAGGGCATGACATTTTCTCACTCTCCACAGCTTCTCACAATCCTGCTTTCCTCTGAGGTCTTCCTACCCTGACCGTGGGAATCACTTGTGCCTGGGACTTGATAAACTCTTCCTGAGAGTTTCTTTCTCCAATTAGACTCGATGCATATAATACAGTCCATTGTCGGAATTTTGTTAAATAACTGTTGGTTGATGAATGTAAGGGGAACTAGTGTCGGTTAAAGCACAGATCACACCAAAACAAGACTGCTCTCCATTGTGAGGCAGGAAAAAAACACCTGTTTGCTTGGAAGGTCCAAGAGAAGAGAGAATACTTGTTTTGAGTCAACTGATTTAGAAAATTAGATAATTATCTCCTAGAGGATGAGATGTTTAACATTCAGCTAAAAGGTAAAGTTCTTTTACATAAGTGGTAACTGTTAAGACAGGGAATGTGATTTTCTATCAAGAAATATGGCATAGATCTTTCAGGAAGGAAAGTTAGAGGACCCAAAATGTCTTCCTCTCCTCCCAGACAGGATTTGGTGAAGCATCTGTGTAGACAAAATATAGCCCCAATTTCAAAATGTATGTGAATATCTGACAGAAGAACAGTAAGAATCAGAAGCACTAAAAGGAAGGAGAATTGCCTGATTCAGGAGTCCCCCCCGCATCATTGGTTAGACACAGACCCTGGTGACGGGAGCCGCATCCCAAGTACGAGCCATGACCTTCATGTTGCTAAATACAACACTCAGTTTCTCAGCCTCATTGGACACAACGGACCACTCCTTCCTTCTCCTTGAAATATTTTGTTCTCTTTTTCTCTGCCCTCATTGGATGTTCCTTCTCAGTTTCCTTCCCTGGGTCCTCCACCTCCTCTTGACCTCTAAATGGTGACGTGCCCCAGGGCTCAGTACTCAAGCCTCATATCTTATCCATCTATCCTCTCTGCCAGGGCCTAGGTGAGCTCATTCAATCTCACGGCTTAAAATGTCATCCACACAGGCTTTCTCCAAAATTTCTATTTCTGGCCCCATTCTTTCCCCTGAACTCCAGACTTGCATATCTGCCTGCCTACTTGAACTTCTTTAGTGAGACATCTAATAGACTGTAAAACTTAACGTGATTGAAACAGAACTCTTCATTTCCCCCCACCTAAAATCTCCTCCTCCTCCGTCTCCACTTCGGAAAATGGCAATTTCATTCAGTTGCTCAAGCCCAGAACCTTTAAGTCAACCTTGACTCCTCTTTCTCTCCCACCCCACATCCAATCCATCAGCAAATCCTACCGGCTCTACCTTCAACATATATCCAGAATCCAACCACTTGCCTCTGCTTCCACTGAGAGCAACCTGATCCACGCCACCATCAACTCTCACCTGAAAGAGCCTCCCCACTGCTCTCCTGTTTCCTCTCCCAACTCCTACCAGTCAAGCTCCAAGGAGCAGCCCAGTGAACCTTCTGAGACTAAGTCATGTTACTCCTCTGCCCTCCACTATCCAAAGGCGTCCCAGTTAATTTTAAATGAAGTCCAAGTGCTCACCATGGTCCACAAGGCCCTGCAAGCTCCCTTTCCAGTTTTCATTTCCTACCCCCTTCATCACAGCACTTTGGTTACACAGGCCTCCTTGCTGTCTTCAGCAGGTTATTAAACTGAACGTATACTACCTAAAAATGTAAGATATAAAGAGAAAATTTGTGACATCAATAACACAGAGTGTGTGTAGGGGGGTGTGGAGCTGCAAAGGAGTTTTTGTGTTTAACAGGTACAGAGTTTCGGTTTCACAAGACAAAAAGAGTTCTGGACGTGGATGGTGGTGATGGCTGCACGACAATGTGAATGTACTTAATGTCACTAAACTGTACATTTAAAAATAGTCAAACTGGGGCTTCCCTGGTGGCTCAGTGGTTGAGAGTCCGCCTGCCGATGCAGGGGACACGGGTTCGTGCCCCGGTCCGGGAAGATCCCACATGCCGCGGAGCGCCTAGGCCTGTGAGCCATGGCCGCTGAGCCTGCGCCTCCGGAGCCTGTGCTCCGCAACGGGAGAGGCCACAACAGTGAGAGGCTCACGTACCGCAAAAAAAAAAAAAAAAAAAAAAAAGAAATTAGTCAAACTGGTAAATTCTATGTTATGTGTATTTTACCAAAATAATAATGAAAAGAAAAAGATAATTAATATATGTATACATGTATAACAAGTCTGAAAGGATAGGAACAAAAGGGGAATAATAATTATATTTAGGGTTACATATGATTACATATGATTTTCTTATTGCAGGAAAAGTATTTCTAATTTATGTATTACTTATGTGTGATTTTTATATATTACATATGTAATAAAATACATAAAGAGCTGTGTATAAAACTTATACCTAGTGTGGTGATAATATTTAACTACATACAAACTCTGGAAATAAATACGTGTCACTAGCTATGGGCCCCAAACTTCCTATTGAGTGTCATCAATTTCAACGGACCCATCTCCACAGGAACCAGACAAGAGGCCTTTAATCTAAATACAGGAGCCCTCAGGTTTTCAAACGCAGACTCAGGTGAAAACGTGGATGCTACCTGACACAGGCCAATCATGCTACAGATGAACAAGCTGTTGCAAAAACTCTGAATATCTCTACCATGTGTCATTTGATAATGTGGCATCTTTTGACACAGACCAAGCTACAGAGCTGCCTATCGTGTATAATTAAGGGTTTCGGGTGTACTAAGGTTTTCTCCTGCCAAATGCCATTCATCTATGCTTGAGTCTTCCAACAAATAGAACCGAAGTACAATTTGAAAAGCAAACTCACTGTGCGAATTATTTTGTCCTGCTGTTTTAAGTCACTGCACGGTTCAGAGGAGTAGAGAAATTATTCTGGGACACATAAACCACAAAGCACAATCCCATCATTTGGGAAGAGGATGCCAAGACCCAGGAGAGTAAAGTGACTGTTCTAGAGCTGCCCTCCTAGCGTGTGGAATAGCTGGGGCTGGACTCCAGGAATCCTCATACCTTAGTCCCGTGCTTCTTCTCAAAAGTTGGAATGTTATCTTTGGAAAAGGAGAGTAACAACAGCCTGAATGTGGTTACGACTAGAAACAGCTTTATTTCTCTCCAACCTTTGCCTTCAAACAGACTCTATAGCTTTCTGGTTACACTTTGGAGAACCACCTCATTTCAGCCATTAAGACTAATTTTCAGGTGTTTCAAAAAAAAAAAAACTCATCTGGTCTAAATCAAGTTTTCAATCTCACATCCAGCTCAAAGCTCTTCCCCTGATCGTGGCTCAGACTGTGATCATGGCTCACAGCTTGCGGTCTTGTGATGGGGAAGGGGGTGAAATCTGCTTTCTCTCCTCCTCCCCTTCTTCCATGGCTCTGGCTTCCCAGGATCACTGGTGGGCCTGGGGTGGGGGAGTTGTCAAGGGTTGAAGTCAAGGGACTAAAGTCTCTGCACTTGACTGTTTCTAGATCTCCCTCGGCTGACAGCATTCTCTGGGCTGGTGTCCAAATGCCGAATGTGCCGTGGGATGCAGCTATGGCTTCTGAAAAGGCCTTATGGGAATCTCCAAAGGATCTGAGTCAGGGGCACCAAACTGATGGTGCTCTGGGAGCCCTCTCCCTTGGCTGGGAGGAATCAAGGCTCTCCCCGCTCTCCCACCCCCCACCATCGCACTGTCCCTCACACTCTGCCCAGGGAATCAACTCTCCTTGAATGTCTAGTCTTTTCTTCACACAGGCTATATAGGTGGGTGATGGCAGCCAGAAAAGTTCAACCACCTTTACATAAATCTTGAGCGGTTGTGCCTAGCTGTTCCTCTTTAGAAGGTGGGGATACGTACCACCTAGTATCTTCATAAAAAAAGTCCCAGTCAGTATTCTCTTAGAAGAGTCCTAAGTGTTGTTTGCAAGGTGGGAGGGTAGTTCTTACTTTTGGAAAGGAAGACATTACACAAAGAGGAAGGAGCCGCTGGGAAGGTCCTAGGGAGAGAAAGGGAACTGCCCACGGACTGCTGGGAAAAGGAGGGGCTGCCTCCAAGGACAAATCCCCTCACCTTAGGGAATGTCAAGGACTCTGAGGGGAAGACTCTGAGGGGAGCTGCCTCCCTGGAACCAACCAGATCAGGTGCACGAGGATAAGACAAAACCCCGCCTCTGCCCTTCACCCACTCAGTGGTACAGCCTGAGCCCTTTCCTCCTTCTGGGCTCCAGGGTCCCCATCTATAAAATAGGGGGATGGTGAATATTTGTGGCTACAAAGCATTGGAGTATCCTCTCGTTTTGGAGGAATTCCAAGATGGGATGCAGGCAGACTCCCTCCTGGTCCATCATGGAAGCCCAAGAGGAGGCCATATAGTCTCATTCCCTACCCCTCCCATATACTACAGCATGGAAATGTGACCC